TTTGTTAGGGGCTGCACATCCTTGGTTAAAAAAACAGTCATTCATCATAACACGATAACAGGCCCCTGTTCATTGTTGTCCGGGTCTGTACTCCCTATTAATTGTTTTTTCCCTTACAAAATATTCGCTGGTAGTCTTCCGATTGAAGAGGAGTTAAGAATGAGAATGTCAGTAGTGAAAATTAGCACAAGTTAGTTGTAAGAAATGTAAATATGGATAAGTTTTAAAACTTTAATATCTATAAATCAAATGGAGTTGCATTTTTTTAACCAACGAAATGGAGTTATACCATTAAAAGGGGTGATCAGCAGATTCCCCCATTAGGATTTAACCGTGTCCATCACGCTCATTTCTCAGACATGGCTTCTAGAGCTCATTATTCTCTTCCTTTGGGGCGTAGGGATATTTTGATTACCGACATATATTGACCATGTTTTCTCTGCATGCATGGCTGATCGGTGTGGCCCTGTATAAAAAAAGAAGGAAGAAGGAAAGAAATAGAGAAGCTGAATTTTGAAGCCCATAATCACCTGACCTTTCCCGCGCTTTTTTCTTCTTAATTTCCAAATTGTTTAATTTCTTTTTATGCATGGTTCTTTTTTTTTCCGTCAGCATTTTTATGCATGGTTGTTATGCATGCAAAATTTAGATTGTTACTTACTCCTCTCATACTTCTTAAACGTTTAAGCCATATTTAGTATGGATATAAGAGAATGTGATATGGATGAAAGGGTTTTCATCGCGGAAGGATTTTGTCGTAATCTAAAACTCAAAATGCGGAAAACAAAATATAATAAGCAACCAGTTTCGCTTTGATGAGTATCATAAACTCATCAAATATGAATGGTTTATATCTGATTTGAACGGTTTAAATTTAAAATCTTTATTTAATCATTTTTAAATGCAAAAAAACTATTTTTTGAAAGAATGACATTTAAAAAATTATCTCTATTTTAGATTTTATACATATTAAAATAATTATTTTAAATAAATAAAAATTGGACCATCTAAATGAGATATAGACGATCCAGACCTGATGAGTTTATAATAATCATCATAACAATGAGCATCAAAACTGGTTCTAATAGAATAATACTTCAATTATAATGCCCAAGATATTCATCAGACTGTAGTAAATAAATATCGGAGGAGCAGGAATTCAAAAGGCAGCATGTTGCAGTTACCAGTATTCTAAAGGACGCAAAGAATAAAGGGAAAGTTGGAAAAAATTATTTGCAAAGTGACAAGGGTCTCATCAGTCGCAGTATTTATACTCTTGCGCACACAAAATTTGCATTCGGTAATACTTATGATTAAGAGCCCAGTCCAGCAACTGGAGATGAATCATGGAAGGGTCTAATTTCAGAGATATGCATATTCGTAGCACCGGCGCACCGAATGTGAAGGGGAGACGCTCGGTTTCACTGATGGCCGTATAGAGAACGCATAAGCTAACAAAATTAAATACTACCTCCAGACCTTAATTATAAAACTAACGGTAGGTAGCGGTAGCCACTGATGTGTCATCTCTTTTGCGTAAGCATCGAGCTGATCAAAGCAAACAAGACAGCCGTGAAAAGTCGTCGCTCGCAAGCGATTGTCATATACAGAGGTGATGTCCCCCCAAAAAAAAAAGTGGAAGACGTAAAATAATCTAAGTCGGTAACTGATTCATCCACGAAAATAAATAATTAGCGCCATAATATTGTTTAACCAGGTTAATTAATTTGATAAGTAACAAGTTTCCTGAGGCGACATTTGCATCGTGCATATAATGTGATTGCCATTGGATCATGAAGAAGCCACGTTGATAATTAACTAACTAACTATGATCGGGTAAACTGCTGGGAATGATATTAAACTATAAAACTCAACTTGTGAATATCAGGGGCTTAATTTATAAACTATAATTAGGAGTAAAGCTTACGTGATTTAACGGCGTGACATGTTCAATAGAGACTACGCGGAACCCTGCTACTCGCTTGATACACCACACTTACTTCCACAAGTTAGAGACGATTTCAAATTTATTACGCAAGGCATAAGTTTGTTGAATATTAGAGGGTAGTGACAAATTCAACACGAGCCTGTCTGAGTCTGACTTCTTATTTTATTTTTTAAAAAAGTTCCTTTGATTTTTCATTGATCCATTCGTTCCGTCTGTTTTTTCACGCGTTCAAAAAGCTGAGCATTTCACAGGCTTTTAAGAATTCCTGATTTCCACAAAATAATAATGGAGGACAATAAACCCTGACCAGGAGGGTCAATATTTCGAGAATATTACTTCCAAAACCGATAATATCCCCGGCTGCATTTATTTTTATCCCAGGACAAAAAAGGGCAGCAATCTTCCCTATAAACTCGTAAATGTCCCTCCCCCCACCTCCCAAAAAAAAAAAGTGTTTTTGTGTGATTTGAGATTCTTAACCTGTGACCTCGATGCTTAAAATCCATCTCACGAATTAAAGATGAGAACTACAGTTTCCTGATTTTCCTAGTAAACCTTCATGGCTCCATATTGAAATCGTGTTTTCGAGATATTACGCCTTAAAAAAAAAAAGGGGGTTGTCTTTGAATTAAAGTGATAAGACACAAGTTATATATGAGAGCAAGTTATAACAAACAACAAATCATCAGCTCATTGAAAATAAAATTGAATTATTCCATGAAAGACTGCATCATTAAATGTTAAATCAAATTAAATCACTTAACGACTTATCAGTCAAATATTCATCCTTTCTTCTCCCCACAAGAAACATCCTAAGAGTACAACCCAAGTTTTATCCTATTTAAATATAGGTTATTTTTACGAAAAGTGTGATATATAGACATGCATCGAATATTTATCCTAAGAGAGAGAACAAAACCAACAATCTGCCTTAGACAAAAGATGATCCTGCGCATCCTGTAACCGTAATCAAACTAACGCTGCCATTTCTCCACGAAATTCCTTGAAAACTTTTTACCAATTATTCCGGCAATTAATATCGTGTTTTTTTTTTTTTTATATCAGCGGTACTTTTCTTTTGTCTATAGTAAAACTAATTTCTTTTTGCAATACAGAGAATAACTAACAGTTCCTTTCAAAGTAAATTTATTCCTTGTACAAAAGTGGACAAGAAACAAATTAAAACCCCCACTATTATTTACGTGAGAAACAAAAACCCAAACCGTTAACCCCACTATTTATGCCCCGTATGCCTCCTGAGTTGGCGTCGAATGATTAAGGATATTTGGGAGTTTAATATTAAATAATTATAAACAAAATATTGTAATATTTTAAAATAATAATATATTGTATTATGAGATAGAGGCTTGACAGATAATATCTCATGGAACGATACAATAATTGCCAAGTCAAAGATCAACATTATGATGAATTTAAAAGTGAACACGGTTAAAAAAAATTTAAAAGTCATCTGTTGGAAGACATCCAGTGATATTGGAATAGAGAATTGAAGAGCCAAACATTCGTGTGTTTCCCTGTAACGCAGCCGCCCAAGCTGGAAACTTTTGTGACCCCTTCAAATTACATGCATTGTTGCACCCTCTGAAAAAATCACGGCGTCGCAGGATTAACTTTCGTCTTTATTTTTTCTTAATCCATTTTTATTCACAGTCTTATCCATCCATTCAACTATTCATTTGATTTAATATAATGATCCATGCATTATTATTATTTGAATGTTTTTAAAAATAAAATCATAATACTTTTTCATGGGAGTAATTAAATAAATAATAGAGAACTTCCATAACCACCAACGCCTCAAAATTCACGTTTTTCTTTTCAAAATTTTTTTTTTATGCCACAAAAGCAAAAATGACATGTTTGAGCACTATTATACTACCTCCGGTCTTTATTATAAGACCCCGTTTGACTTTTTATTTGGTCCTAATTATAAGATCCCAATCCATTTTGTCTCTCATATTTATGCATTTTTTTCAAGATAATCCTTCTAATAATGATAGTTCTAACCAATATACTTAATTAGCAAGGATATTTTAGGAATGACAACACTTATTTATTACAAATAACTAACTTAACTTACTTCCTTAATCTCCTCAAACAAGTCAATTGGGTCTTATAATTAGGACAGGAGGTAGTATATAACACCACACTTTAAATCTTTTTTATTGGTGTCCCAAGTCGACTCCCCTTTTTCCATTTAATTATTCGTGTATTCCCCATTTAAAAGAGCTATCACCAGCGTTGTATATACTTAAACATGATTATTTTCAAATGCAGAATGGTACGGTACAACAGCCAATTATTGCAGAATAAGAATTCTTTGACGAGGCCATGGGTTCTAGTTCAAGTTCTTATGAATTAGAAACAAAAATAGTTTTTAAAAGAACTATACAGTCAATTAAAGCTAATAGTGTTTAAACTTAATCCCATTGAATAGTTGCCTAATGCCTATATAAAGAAATATTTGTTGTCATCGAATTCCTAATTTACAGGTAGGATGGTATACATAAGCCTTTCTATTTTAATTTACCCTTGTGCCCCGTCTTATCTATTTCGCTCCCATTTTTATATATGCATGCCATCGATTCTCAATTTTATGATTTTATCTTTATTCACACCTACCAATTCCACAAGTTTACCTTTTTATTTTCCTTAATATATGGTAAAGTTCCGCCAATTTGCAAGTCGAGATTACTCAAAACATAAATATCCGCCCATGGACTTGGATAAGGCTTCAATCTTAAATTCTTAATCAAAGAAAGCGACAAAAAAAATATTCAACTGAAAGGAATGGATGCAGGCACCAAGTCACAGAACTTCTGGATAGTTGCGTCGGGTCGGGTCCTCTTTCATGCCCGCAAATGGCCCCTATAAATACCCACCAAACCTTTTTCCCCATCACGCCATTTTTCTCCACTAGTAATCCACTGGCTCTCTCTCTCCTCACTCTCGCAGGCCTGCTGTGCTAGCACAGTAAAGCCAGCTTCCTGCACCACAAAAGCTATTTGCTCTCTCTCTCTCAATCTTTGCCATGGCAGCAACCGTCAGCAACCATCAATATGCTGGCCCTTTGAGCGGGGTTGCTAGTTCCTTCAACGTCTCCCTTGATTTTAACTTCCCTCCCACCAACTTCGAGGAATCCAAAGCCTCGTCAAAGGACTTGGATTCCTCCAGCGAAGATGAAAACGACGCCGAAGAGTGGAAGGACGTTATACAAAAAGCTAACTCCGAAGCGGAGAGCTGGATGGAACACAATGCTTCATTGCCCCGTGTGCCGGGAAAAAACTACATCAACTGGGAACCACCCATCACCCTCATGAATCACAGCTTCATCACCCCCATCCCCCTCCACTTTGTACGTAACCACGGCCCCACCCCTAATACCCGTTGGGATGACTGGACCGTCGAGGTCAGTGGCCTCGTCAAACGCCCCGCAGAATTCACCATGAACCAACTCGTCAACCAGTTCCCCAGCCGCGAGTTCCCGGTCACGCTGGTGTGTGCCGGCAACAGAAGGGCAGAACAAACCATGGTGAGGCAGAGCATCGGTTATAACTGGCGTGTGGGTGCCGCTTCCACTTCGATCTGGCGTGGGGTGCCGTTGAGGTACTTGCTCAAGAGGTGCGGGATCTACAGCCGCACCAAAGGAGCTTTGTACGTGTGTTATGAAGGAGATGAGGATCTGCCAGGTGGCGGTGGGTCCAAGTACGGAACAAGCATCAAGAGAGAGATCGCGATGGATCCGACCCGCGACGTCATCCTCGCTTATATGCAAAACGGAGAGCGCTTGGCTCCGGAATTTGGCTTCCCGGTGAGGATGATCGTGCCGGGTTTCATCGCCGGTCGCATGGTGAAGTGGCTCAAGCGCATCATTGTAACTTCACAAGAATCGCAAAACCACTACCACTATAAGGACAATAGAGTATTTCCCTCCCACGTGGATGCCGAGCTTGCCAACGCTGAAGGTATTGAGCTTTTGTCAACTCCTGTACTTGTTCGTCTTATCAATTATTCGTATTCATTTATTTGAACAAATCATTTGCTAATACCAACTGCCGAGTCCCTAATTGTATTTGAATGAATAAAGGTTGGTGGTACAAGCCTGAGTATATTATCAACGAGCTCAACGTAAATTCTGTTATAACCACGCCGTGTCACGGGGAGATCTTGCCCATAAACTCATCGACAACTCAAAAGCCGTATGTGTTGAGAGGCTACGCATATTCCGGTAAGATTATTTTTCTGGGGAAAGGAAAAGGGAAAAGGGTCTTTGTTTAAGATAAATGACATCTCCTCTTGGTATGGGAAGGATAAGTTAGGGTTTAGCTAGGGTGTGAGAGGGAGACATTCGGAGACGGACGTAGCTGATAAGGAGATCCATGTTATTCCGTGTAGGGGGCGGGAGAAAGGTGACACGTGTCGAGGTGACAATGGACGGAGGGGAAACGTGGTCACTGGCCACGTTGGAACGCTCGGAGAAACCGAACAAGTACGGCAAATACTGGTGCTGGAGTCTCTGGTCGTTGGAAGTGGAGGCGCTGGACCTTTTACGAGACAAGGAAATCGCCGTACGAGCATGGGACGAGGCCCTCAACACCCAGCCCGAGAAGCTCATTTGGAATGTCAAGGTACTTCAAATTTATTGCGCACTTTCACTGTGTAAATACATATTACTGATAATGGTTGTAAATATCCACTGCTTTAGCACTGGGGTCAATATTCCAAGCGATTTATGACCAATTTTGATCTCTTATTCTGTCGCCTATTTTGTATAAATATCAACGCTTTGGGTTTTTGTGATGAAGGGTATGATGAACAACTGCTGGTTCAAAGTGAAGACCAAGGTGTGCATACTCCTTGAGGGGGGAACTGGAATTATGTTTGAGCATCCGACCATACAATCGAACCCTTCTCGCAAGTTGAAGACATCGGAGTCCAACAAGAGCGTCACAACGCCCTTTATGAACAACAGCGCCTCCAATATGTACTCCATCTCTGAAGTCAAGAAGCACACCTCCCCCGCTTCTGCTTGGATCATCGTTCACGGCTACGTCTACGACTGCACCCGCTTCCTCAAAGATCACCCCGGCGGCCCCGAAATCATCCTCATCAACGCCGGCACCGACTGCACCGAAGAGTTCGAAGCCATCCATTCTAAGGAAGCCAACAAAATGCTCGAGGACTACCGAATTGGTGAGATCATGACTACCGGTTACGCCCCCCCTGACTCATCGCCCAACACCTCCCTGCACGGCAATGGCGATATCAGCCACTTAACACCAATCACGGAAGCCCCACCATTACGCAGCGTGGCCCTCAACCCACGTGAGAAAATCCCATGCAAGCTCGTCTCCAAAGCGTCCATCTCACGCGACGCGAGACTTTTCCGTTTTGCGCTACCCTCCGAAGACCAAATCATGGGTCTGCCGGTGGGAAAGCACATATTCGTATGTGCCAACATTGAGGATAAGCTGTGCATGCGAGCTTACACTCCAACCACCAGCGTGGATGAAGTGGGGTATTTTGATCTGGTGGTCAAGATTTACTTCAAAGGGGTGCACCCCGAGTTCCCCAGCGGTGGGCTCATGTCTCAGCACTTGGACTCGCTTCCCATCGGTTCTGCGGTGGAAGTGAAGGGTCCGCTCGGCCACATAGAGTACACTGGAAGAGGTCAGTTTTTGGTTCACGGGAAGCCCAAGTTTGCAAAGAGGCTTGCCATGTTTGCAGGTGGGACCGGAATTGCGCCCATTTATCAGGTGGCGCGAGCCATTCTGAAAGACCCAGAGGACCGGACCGAGATGCACATTATGTTTGCGAACCGGACGGAGGATGATATTCTGCTGAGAGAAGAGCTCGACGAGTGGGCTGAGAAAGGTGACCGGTTCAAGGTGTGGTACGTGGTGCAAGAAAGCAAGAGTGAAGGGTGGGAATATAGTGTGGGTTTCATCACGGAGGATATCCTGAGGGAGCATGCCCCCAAGGCATCAGATGACACGCTGGCATTAGCTTGTGGGCCACCACCCATGATTCAGTTTGCAGTGCAGCCGAATTTGGAGAAACTGGGGTACGACATCAACAACAACTTGCTTGTGTTTTAGGGAGGGTCCTAAGAGGGAGTATGGTGTGTTGTTTGTGTATGTGCGTAGTGTGCGATTGGAGAAATTAGAGTGAGACATCAACAGTTTGCTTTTGTCTAGTAGAGAAGCCGTTGACGGAGGTCGGAGCGGTAGTTTGATATTGTATATGCGTTTATGTGTATCGCCAGTAGTGTATATATGAAGGACGCGTTCTTTTATAAAGAATTACTTTTTTATATATGAGATTTTATTCTATATGCATGTTTTAATTATATATATATATAGAGAGAGAGAGAGAGAGATAGAATCCAGAAAGGAGAGATACTGAGGAACATGCAATGGAACGGGGAGTGACAGATCTGTTATCAACTCAAAGCTAGAACGAAAGTGGGGTCTATCAATGGGCGATGAGCAATGAGATGAGGTATTTGAGCAGAAGGACTTCAAAATTTCCCACAACTAATCAAGCAAGTACTCAGGTCTGAGCAAGAATACAAACATGTCGCAGCTGCAATATTCCAAATTAAGGATGTACAAAAAATTACAGAGGCGTGCCATGAGCACAGAGGAAAAAAGAATACAAGTTCAATAGCACAGCTATAGAACCCCTTCCTGCAATTGGAGATCAAGCATCGATGGACCCCATTTCAACTTTCAAAGGACGTGCTCATGTGCACCCTTGAAACTAAGGAAGATCGTCACGGTGCAGAGGAAAAAGTAAAAGTTGGGGTCATTGCTGTGAGTTTCCGGGGAAACCGGGAGAGGAAAGCCTCTTGTCTAAACACGAGCGTTAGGCCCGACATTAAGTGGGCCTAAGCCCAATCTAAAATGGGATGTGAAGCCCGAAGCCAGAAAATAGCGAGCCCAACGGAAAGGGAAGCAAGCCCAGATGACATTTGAGACTCCGCGGAAAGAAATGTCAAATGAAGCAGAACCCCATGAAAGAAGCATTTGGTACGGTTAGACGCGCGCGGAGGAAGAGGATAGTGGAAGTTACAAGTAACTCCATAAATATCGTAACCGTTGTAGTTGATGGGACAGACACCCTCACTAACATTCATCAATCAATCACTCAATTGTTTAGTGGTGTTAACTTCTTCGATTTTCGCTGTAGTTATTGCTTGAGTAATCATTTCAATGAGCATGTTGCCAGATTGTGATATTTTCATTCCCAAGCTCGAAACTCCAAGTTCACATATTCAGGTCACCTGATCTCCGGCAAGCCCCAATCACACGAGCGGATTGCAAAACTGGGGCCAGCAATGGGAGAGTCAAATTTTCAAGAAACACGAATTGCCACTTGTCATAAGATATTTTTTCCTCGCCCTTTCCCATGCTCAGCTTACCTCCGCTTCTGCTGATAAGATTATCGTCTTAATTGTTTAGATTTAAAGTGTAAAATACAAAGAGAGTCATTTTTTTTTAATTTTAAATCTCAGTTTTAGGATCACTTTATCCGCTTACTTTAGGATTTATGTCTCCATCTAACTCTCCGCAGTTAATGTCTACATCTAACTAATATCTCAAGAGCCAGAGTCACAAGCGACTGCCATATGCACCGGCAGTGTACCAAAACATAAAGTTGAATACATAAAATAATCTAAATTGCTGAGTGTTCAATCATGGGAAATTAAAGAAGTAATTTCACAAGTAACAAGTTGCTCGAAGCGACACAATGCTAGAAAATGAGAACGCTCGCTAGATATCGTCATTGGATCATCAACTGGGCAATTAACTAGCTGTCCATCATTTTTTATGGGCGCGCTTCTACAGGGTAAGATATTAATTATTAAGCAATAAATTCATACTTGGGGTAAAATGAAGCTGGATTATGGTTTTGGGGAGGGGCGGTAAGTACTTCCAGTGGAAAACTGGAAATGTTTTAGCATACTTGTTTTTTTATTAATGCATGCCTACCATAAATACACATATGGGGTTCAACTATTAAATGTATAATGTGTCTTGTGCATGAAATTAAATAGAAAAAATTACATGAATGTAAAATCATGCATCATGGTTTTTTACAAATAAAAAAAAAGCATAATATTATATAACATGCAATCTTCGTGCACCGTGGAGCTTCTTTAATTAGCATGCTTTGGAGTTTGTTCAAAACTGTACTATCTCCCGTTATTAATATAATATCAACACGAGGAGATTAAAAAACCTAAATAAACTAATTTTAAAATATTTAGATTTATTGCTTTTTTTAAATTAATTTATCTAACTTATAAATTGATATATAATCTGATTAATATATATAAGTATTTCGGAGAGATCATGTAATATATGTTATAATCAAATAATTTATTTTGCTTCATTAATCTCCTCAAATATATTTGTTGTCATCGAATTTTTTACAGGTAGGATGGTATACATAAGCCTTTCTATTTTAATTTACCCTTGCGCCCCGTCTTATCCATTTCGCTCTCATTTTTATATATGTATACCATCGATTCTCAATTTTATGATTTTGTCTTTATTCACACATTACTACAGAATTATTAATATTTGACAATTATTTTTACTTATATTTGACAGTTTGACATCATCAAATAAGAGTGTGACAACCGTTCTTTCAAAACTATATTTAGACTAAATCTAACAATTTTTTTGAATGATTAATCATGATAGAAAAGAAGAAACCTAAGTTAAAGTTTAAAATCGTTATTATGATTAAAAAAAATAAACTTATATTACGAGTAATATCGATCGTTAACTTGGACCTTAGATTTTCAAAGTTCAGAAATATCATTCAACCATTAGCCCAAACCAAACTTATACTTTCAAACATAATTTTAATCGGTAAAAATATAATATAAATCATATATAACAGATTTTTAAACTAGAAAAAATTCATTTAAGCACTAAAACCAACAAATGGATAAATCTAACCAATTAAAATTAACAACTCATTTACCTATAAATTCTTACAGTCGTCTATTACCAAAACTCAAAACTTATCCCTCATATAAGTCTTAAAAATTTCTCTGATTACTACAGTAATACTGTCATTAAGAAGTCTAAAATATATAGAAAATATTCATAAAGAAAGTTTGATGAAGAGAACTATATTTGTGTACCTAGATGATCCCTAAAGCTTGTATTACTCTTCAAAATGTCAAAACTTCTCTGCTCCTCTCTCGTTCTCTCTTTCTCTCCGCATATATGGCTCCGCTTCTGCACCCCCTCTTCCTTTTATTCTTCATTTCTCCAGCTACTCTCTCCTATTTTTTCTTCTGGCATTAAATCCTCTCCCCCAAAGTCTTCATCTCCTCCCCCAAAATCTTCATTCCTAATCCAAATGGATCAATTTTTCCATGCCTCAATTTTTTCCACGCATCAACTTTTCATGTCTCTACTTTCAACTTTCAACTTTCCTTCTTCTTCTTTATTCTATCTTTTCCATGCCTCAATTGTGACAACCGTTCTTTCAAAATCATATTTAGACTAAATCCAATAATTATTTGAATAATTAACCATGATAGAAAAGAAGAAACCTTAAAATTTTAAAATAACTATCACGGTTAAAAAAAATAAACTTATATTACGAGCAACATCGATCGTTAACTTGGGCCTTGGACTTCCAAAGTCCAAAAATATCATTCAACCATTAGTCCAAACCAAAACTTATACTTTCAAACATACAAACTGATAAATCATTTTAATATAAGTCATGGAGCCCATTAGCCAAAAGTCAACACTATCAAAAGAGCGTAATACGCAAAGTCTTAAATATCTCTGACCTTCTAACGACCTCCATATCATATAGTAGTAATTAAAAGTATCAGTTTATATCATTAGAGTATATGGGTCCTATGGGGCAATATATAACAAATCAGCACATATAACAAAAGTCGGGAGGCTATACAAGCTATAACAACACACTATGCCTCTGAAGCCTTCCCTGATGGGTCACCACCTGAACTATCACCTGAAGATAGTAAAAAACCATGGGGTGAGACAAACACCTCAGTAATCAACTTTCCAACTCATCATACATACTAACACGTGCTCGTGAGTGTCAAGTGGGACAGTTATTAATTCTCAAAAACATAGATATATAATTTGAATTATCCAAACCCTCACTATGGGGGCTAACACACAAGCCACATAAGTCTATCCCCACTATGGGGGATTAATCAGATATATAGGTCTATCCTCACTCAGGAGACGAATAAGAAGCCACAAAAGCCTATCCCTCACTCTGGGGGACGAAAGAAGAAGCCAACCAATGTGCATCAATGGCGGCCTTACCACGTGATAGGATAGGGCTCAATCCAAAATCCAAATAACAACCAATAATTCACAATATAACAAAAATTTCTCAATATTTCTCAGTGTAATCTATAAGATATAAATCATATATCTTTTCCAAACTTCTCAATTACAATTCTAAAAATCCACACAAGACAATTTTTATAACTCAAAAGTTATAATATATATACTCGAATTCCAAATAACAAATACTATTCTAAAATAGCAAAATACTCACAAACAACATATTAGTATGTATAACAAGTGAAAAGTGGTTACCTCTCGCCAAAGCAATAAAAATGATTACCACAAGGTCAATCATTTGCTCGACCAATAATTAATCTACACAATTAATAACAACATATTAATATAAGCTAATTAATTAATTAATTAGGCTTATATATATTAATTAGATTTCTAATTTAATTTAATTTTTATTCTAAATTCCCGCAACTCTCATAACCTAAAATTAAGTATTTTAGAAATAACTTAAAATTTTCTAACAAGCCAAATTATTTATTTACAACCTCCAAATTATTTACCTTAATAAAAAGGATTTTCCAAAATTTAAATATAAAATTATTATGTTCTAAATTCTAAAAATCTCATTTAAGTTTAAACCTCAAAATCAAGCTATTAAAAATTCAATAATATTTCAAATATTTATAAATAAATAATCTAATCAAAACTTTAATGATATAACTATCATATATATATTCATAAATAATAAACTTTTTAGCTAAAATAATTATTTTAAAAATCTC